CATAGGACATATATTTTTATGGAGCATTTCTTCTATCCAGAACATCTGTTTCATAAATCACAGGATGTCAGAGAACAGTACGCATACTGGACATCACATGTCCATAGCAATGTAGAGATATAAACCAGAATATTATTGTCAGACAGCAAGAAACAAAGAACAGGGCCTAAGAGCATAAGCCTGAGGAAATGTGTCATCCCGTGTTAACCCCAGCAAGCTGGGCTACAGGGAACAACACATTCCTGGAGGCATCTGTCTGTTCTTTGTTCCTTGAACTAGAATGTTAATGACTGATATGTAAGTTTATAGATTGGTAAATGGCAGAAGGTGACGTAAATAAAGGATTGTTTACACCAAATTATTTATGTACATGACAGCCTGCTTTCAGTCCTCAATAAATGTAAGAGATTTCCCTGGCTCAGGGCCCACTTAGAGAGACTAATCGCAGTGACACCTCTGGAGCTATATTCGTAGGTCTTCTTGTCATTTCTTTTGGAATGCACTGATAACATACAACATAGCAAAGTGAGGATGTTAAAAGATACATTGAACATAGGAACCACCCAGTAAGGTTGAGAACAAAGATAGAAAGCAGGAGCTGTGCTGGCACCATCTCTGGAATGCATGAATCAGAGCCAGGGTGGATGAGAAAAATGTGGCTGTGGTTCAGGAAGGGAAAGGGAGTTTTGGGCTAACAACCTTTGAACTCATGAAAATGAGACAACACGTTAACCACATTCTAACATTGTGTTTAGAGTGTGTGCCCTCTCATCAGAGTTAAATACAACTTAAGTATAAGAGAACTGGTCTGAAAAGACACAAAAAGTATAAAAGTAACCCATTCTCGCTCTGTCCCCTCATGTCAAGGAATCTCAACTGCAAATCATTATTCAAGTTTCTGGTTCTAATTCCTCTCTTGGATTTAGGGAGCTCACAGCCCTCTTCTATGACTGGGCTGGAGAAGTCAGACCTCTTCTCTAGAGAACGAGTCTGCTGGGGCCTTCCCTTTGCTGATGACAACTTACCAAGGTGAGTATCAACCAGGATCTGTAAACCCAGGGGGAGCATTGAAGCAGCTTTCTGGCATGAGCCAATGACACTTGTCCACAAGGATGATGTCCCAGGTGCAGCTACATCAGTTTGGACCTGGCCTGGTGACATTCTCAGAAACTCTGTCTTTCACCTCATCAGTCTCTGGATTCTCCATCACAGTCAGGGATTTCTGATAAACACTAGAACCACCAGAGCTCCAGGAAAAGGCTTGAGTTGATGGGAAAAATAGGTTATGGTGGTGTCAGTAAGTACACCCTCTCTCTCACTAGCCAAATACCTATCATCAGTGCCACAGCCAAGAACCAGGTTTTCCTGCAATTGAGCACTCTGACACCTGAGGACACAGCCCTATATTATTTTCTGAGTGAGGCCCCCACACAAACATCCCTTCAGGGAAGCTCAGGACCAGCAGGGGCTGCAAGGGACACATGGATCAAACAGATCAAGTTTGGAGCAATTGAGAAAAATGGAAATGTTTTTCTTCCCAATAAATTTTCATCTTTCCCTCGACACTGTGAGATATGGAGGTATTTGGCAAATATCCTGTCTATTATCCTATAATATTGTGTGTTCAAGGAGGCAGAATTACTCTTAGCCTCCAGTTCATGATTAGATGCATTTAGGGGCTAGGGTGATAGTTCAGTGGCATACTCCCTGGCAAGTGAAAGGTCTTGACTATAATTTTAAGGTATAATAGAAAGATAGACAGACAGACAGACAGCTACTGAAACGTAAGTGTTTGTGTTTATCTGTCTTAATGAAGGCATTTAGAATATCATGATTGCCCTCAAAGGCCTAATTTTATGTCAATTTTAAAACCTAGGGCCAAAAATTATGCAGAAAACTTCTTAGTAAATTAAGGGCATTTGGAAATTATTCTTCCGGTTTTATTTATGAAATCAGTCAAAGTAAAATAAATTCTTAAGATAATATTAAGGCTTTTAAAAGTAGAACCAATTAAAATAGATAATACAGGAAAGGCCAATGGAAAAGAATAAACACCTCCTATAGAAAAAAGTAGAAATTGCCTGTACATATATGAAATCTGTTTATTCTCTAGTACAATAGTGGGCCTGGCATATGGTAGTCACTGCCACACTAAATGTGATAAGGAGAACACAGAGAATAATGACGAGGTCTCCATGAAATCCAAAATCCAACTGTGATGGCACTCACACTTGAGAATCCAAAATAATGCTCTTTCAACTGACGTCCTCCCTTCCAAGTTAGAGGCAGACTGAGCCCGTGGAGTTCCAGAAATCCATGGTCTTGCGCCAGATGCAGTGAAACAAAAGCCTTCATGCTTGTGTGCTAGTGCCTGAAGATGTCCCCAGCCAACTTCGCATGCTGGTATCTCTGGAGGCCAGTTGACCCCCAGCACAGGACCAGCACGCACTGTGCCCTCCAGAACTCTCACCCCACCTTGGTGCTGGCATTGCCCTAAAAGGTGCTGTCTCAGCATTTTCCTTTGGGAGCGCTGCACTTGGTCTCTGTCTCTGTCTGTCTTTCTGTCTCTTTGTCTCTTGTCTGTAGATAGATAGATAGATAGATAGATAGATAGATAGATAGATAGATAATATTTCTCTCTCTTCTTTTCTTTCTTTCCTTCTTAGACAAGATCACTGGTCTTATAAAAAGTTTGGAGGAATGAATTGATCTCTTTCTGGATTGCCGCAATGCAGGGACACACTGTGGTTCTGTTCTACCATGTGAAGATAAAAAAAAAAGCTGGATAAAGATGTAGACACACATAGATACCTCCAGCCAAGCAAGAAACTTACCATTTCCTGCTTTTGAAATTTCACAATTCAAAATATAAGAGATAAAACTTATTTTGTCATCATTCCCCATTATGGGGTATTTATATATCAGCAATAATAAACATAGACAACCCCTCATTTTGTGAATCCTGTTATATTTTCCCTGATTCTTTAGCACATTCAGCCTTCAACAATCCATGAACTGCTTCCAGTTTAACCTTCTAGTCATATAGCTCAGGATGATCTCTGCCCCAGGAATATAAAACTCCCATTTGTTTTGCAAATGTAGACCCTGATGCTCAAGTTTCCATATTTTTATTGGCTTTGTGACAACCACAAGTTTCATGGACTTAAGAAAAAATATTAATTTGCAACAACATAATTTTTTGTTATGTTCATTTCATTCATCTTTGGAATATGTATAGACCAACTATTTTGAACTACTTACACTTGCAAAATGAGGACCAACTTTCTGTGCAATAAACAAAAAATGAGAATATTTAATTACACATTAACATGTAACCTTAAAAGTTCACCTGGATCATCTCATCTTGTGTACTTTTGCTGTACTATGCATTGAAACTAGGAACTCTAACACGATAGGTGAGCAGGCTAGGACGGAGACTATTTTTAGACATTGGAGGTCAATCAGCATGAATATCCAAGAGACGTGATTCACAAACCATGAGAAGTTATGTCAAAGAAAAGACTGTAAGTTAGAAATGTCCAAATTCTTAGACTATGTGCTATTTATAGAAGTGTTGAAAAACTAAAGCCAGTGGAAACAACCTGAAGATCATGAGCTGCCTGGTGGTCACATGCAGGAGGGAGACAGAGGACAGAGGGCTTGCAGAGGAGCCACAGGACACACTGAAGGACGTGATGTGTGTTCACAACGTTGTGTGTGTGGTTGTGCAAGTGTCCGTGTGTGCTGATGTTACTTAGGTGCTCACTGTATATGGGCAAGTTATGTGTTATGTCTGATCAGATGCCACAGTTAAATACTATATGTAAATAGCATCTCAGTGTTGCTTTAATTATCTTTCCTATTATTGGCAGAGCTCTTAAAAATTTTAATGTTACCTATTGGCCATTTTTCTTCTTCTTTGAAAAGTGTTTCTTCGTTATACTCACCCACTTTTAATATTCTTTATTTTGATCAGGTCTAATTTTTTGAAGTCTTTACGTATTCTTGACGATAGTCCTCTGTTTGAGGAATAATTGGCAAAAGCTTCCATATGCTCTAAAGTGAAGGAAATCAGTGACAAAAGCTTCAATATGATATGCTTTCTTTTATGTGACAATGTACACTAAAAGGCAAAATAAAAGACATAATGGGAAATGGTTACATGAATATTTTGGGGAGAAAAGAGGCAACAAGAGATGAGGAAGACCTGGAAAGATGGGCGAGAACAGACTAAAGGTGCATTATGTGCATGCACGAATGACTCATAATTGATATGAATATCACATACTGCAAAGTGTGTTAATAAACATAAAATTATAAAAAATTAAAGCTAAATGAAGGTAGATAAAAATTGACACATAGATAATGACATTAAAAAATGAGAGCCTTATTGACACATAAACACATGAGCACAGGCTCCGTATTCTTTACACAAAGAGCAAAAAGCAGCAAAGTCATGCATCTATCTGCCCAGCCCTGACCCTGCAGCTCTGCAGAGGAGCCCAGCCCTGGATGCCCAGCAGTTCCCACTCACTGACTGATGTGTAAACCTCTCTGGCTGTGTCCAGGGCCTGGAGCAAGAGTCTAGTAGCTTGCAATTAGGACACAGGCCTAGACAATGGGGACAATGTTAAGAGAGAACCCGGTCTTCTATGGATACCACAAATGTTTAACAAACTTTAATATTTTTAAATGACTACAAAGCAAGAAAGATTTATACAAAAAAGAATGACTTGTATTCTGGAGAAAAACAAAAGGAGATTAAGAAGTAATTACACAACAAGATAGTTTCACAAAATAATCTACCATACTCCGTTGAACTTTCTTTGTTTGTAAACTGCCTCTGGACACTCACATCAGATGTGGATACTACCCTTTCTGATGCATCTTTCTCCAGAGCTATCCAAATAGCAGGAGGCCATGCAAATCAGTCCTCCCTCTGCTGATGAAAACCAGCCCAGCCCTGACCCTGCAGCTCTGCAGAGGAGCCCACCCCTGGATGCCCAGCGGTTTCCACTTACTGATCAGGACTGGGCACAAACAGATCACGATGGAGCCGGCAATGAACTGGGTTTTCCTGTTTGCGATTTTGAAAGGTGAATTATTTAGAACAAATGACAGAGTGTCAGTGGACACAAGTTGGTTAAACTGTGAACATTTATGCAATTTCCTGAGAAACAAGTTTCTATTTTTGCAGGTGTCCAGGCTGAGGTGCTGCTGGTGGAGTCCGGAGGAGGCTTGGTGCAGCCTGAGGGATCCATGAGACTGTCCTGTGTGGCCTCAGGTTTTACCTTCCATAACTATGGCATGCACTGGATCCGGCAGACTCCTGAGAAGGGCCTGGAGTGGATCTCAGCTATTGGTAATGGTGGTAACACATACTACGCAGACTCCGTAAAGGGTCGATTCATCATTTCCAGAGACAACGGCAAAAAACTGGTGAATCTGCAAATGAGCAGCCTGAGAACCGAGGACACAGCCCTGTATTACTGTTCAAGAGACACAGTGAGGAGACAGACTTGGGCTCCCTGACCAAAAAAAAAAAAAAAAAACAACAACTCCCTGCAAGGACTCCTGGAGCCAGCAGGTGGCGGTGTTGTCCACGGAGAATCAGGCAGGGCCCCAAGAGCAGCTGCAGTGAAGGAAAACAGTGGAGTGAGGTTTCCTACTGATGCCTAGGGTTTTCCTTCTCTATAAACACTGTAGTACCTAAGCAGACCCTGCAATGCATGAGTTGCGATGGCGTATCCCAGTTCAAGTAGACATCCGGTTACATTGCTTTGCATACATATATATGAAATAATCTCATTTTTTTTGTTTTCTATGTATCAACTTCACTTGATGGGAAATCATAATTTGGCTACATCTTGAAGTAACTTGTACATTTTATGAAGGTAATTTCTTTAATACCATAACTTCATCATTGACAAATGAATCTTGTAGTTTAATTTCAAATAGAAGTTGTCCTGTGCAGAAATAAATGATTCACATTTGAAAATTAAATTCTTCATATCCTTACCCATAGGGTCTGAAAACACCCAGCCCTCTCACCTCCTTGGCAACCTCGGGATGCTGGTCTCAAGGCCCAATGCCAGCACCATCTGGATCCCTGCACTCAGGAGTATGGAAGAAGGGCAGCCTGATTTGGAACACAGCCATGTAGAGGGCCTTGCTGTGCTCTCATTACTCTAGTTATACTGCTAGTTAGCTGATCATATCCACTTGAGTAAGAATCCTCAACTAAATTGGATCAGCATAGTCCCAGGTGTGGCTGAGGGCATTTACTCAAGACAGAATACCCGCCTTAGGGAGATTTGTTACCTGAATGAAAGGAAGACCGAGAACAAAGGGTCAGTTGCGTCTCCTCAGAGGAGCTGGAGTCTTCATCTATGCCAAAGATTGAAACTAGACCCATATTTTCTATGCACTAAACTGAGATGGAAATGAGTTGAAGATCTAAATATTAAAACAGAAATACTAAATCTAAAAGAGGATATACCGTGTAGAACTCTTGAGGACACTGGTGTAAGCAAAGACTTTATGAAGAAGCTCCACTTGCAATTAACTTTTGCAAGAAATAAGCAACTGGGATTTCATCTTGTCAAAACATTGCCCAGTAAAAGAAAACATTCATTAGTGTGACGAGTCAGTCTAGAGTGTAGAAAAAATGTTTTTGGCAGCTGTTCCTCAGGAAAAGGACTATCATCTAGAATATAGAAAGGAACAAAATGTCAGTCCTTCCCACATTTAAAGACCCAATCAAAAAATGAGTATCTGAAAGGAGTAGAAATTTCTCACGTAAGAATCATAAATAACAGATCAATACATTAAGCATATTCAATATCGTTGGTCATTTGAGAAATACAAATTAAAACAACACTGAAATTCCATGTCACTCCAAAACAAATGACTATTTTTAACAAATCAACCAGTGACCACGGCAGGCAAGGCTCTGAGAAATAGCCAGTGCTCCTGCGTGGCTGAAAGGAGTGCAACCTATGAAGCCACTGTGGAAATTAATGTGGCGATTCTTCATAAACTAGGATTAGAGGCTCCACTTGAGCATCTCCTCCTCTCCTTGGGATCTTCCCACAAGTACAAAAAGCATCAAACCACATCAACTTATGCACAGCCATGCTTATAGCAGCACCGTTTATAAAAGATGAATCATAGAAAGAATCCAAATGCCCATCAACTGAAGCACGCATGAAGAAGATGTGCATTTTTTAATACAATGGATCTACTAGTCAGCCAGAAAGAAGGAAAATCTTGAGACACTTCTAGGTGACCGAATGCACATTGAGAACATGCTACTTAGTGAAATAAATCAGACACAAAGGTGTAAATGTCAATTTTTCTCTCATGTAAGAAACTGAAAATGTGAGGCAGAAGATATATAATAGTTACTGTGAAATACGAAGCAAATGTTCAAATGGGAAGAAGAATTGGAGAGGGTGTAGGGGGGAAAGGAAGAAAAAGAGAAGACGAGATTAGAGGCTTCCTAAAAGGTACCATACTACATCAGCTCAATAATAAACTCTGGTAAAAATGTGATCAAATATACCTGCACTGTCTTTTACTTATTGCTGTTGCTGTCATATATAGTATGAATCAAAAAAATCTGTGTTATTATTATCACAATATACTAGCTTGTTTCTTCAGGTGGTAAGAAAAGAAACGATTTTCTGTAACAAAATCTTGGCCTCCAGACTTCACTGGGGCCAGCAGCTGCCCGACCAAGGGCCGGGGGCCACGGGCTCAGCCGACGACCATGGGCTCAGTGTCCAACCAGCAGTTTGAAGGTGGCCGCACCAAGGTGGCGGAGAAGGCACCTGAGGAGGCTCCAGCAGATGCAGCCCGTGCGGTGGACCAGCCGCATCTGTAAGTGGTTCAACGTGCGCACGGAGTTCGGCTTCTTGTCCATGACCGCCTGTGCCAGGGTCGCACTCGTTCCCCCAGAGACATCTTTGTACACCCCAGTAAGCTGTACATGGAGGTTTTCCAGATCCTGAAGGAGGGCAAGGCAGTGGAGTTCACCTTTTAAAAGTCTGCCAAGGGCCTGGGATCCATCCAAGTCACGGGTCCTGGTGGGGTGTTCTGTACTGGAAGTGAGAGGCAGCCCAAGGGGAAGAATATGCAGATGCCAGATCCAATGGAGACAGGTGCTATAACTGTGGTGGTCTAGACCATCATGCCAAGGAATGCAAGCAGCCACCCCTTCCTAAGAAGTACCACTTCTGCCAAAGCATGAACCACATGGTGGCCTCACATCCACTGAAGGCCGAGCAGGCTCCCAGCTCCCAGGGAAAGCCACCTGACTTCCAGAAGGACGAAGAAGAGATCAACAAGAAAGATCCCTGCTTCCAATGGCCCAAAATTGAGCACAGTGGGTAAAGGAATATTCTTTGCTATCAGGAAGTTTTGAGGAGCAGGCATCAATCAGCAGAACGGTGAAAGTGGGGATAGGGTGGGGTGGGTAACTGGCACTGCCGTATATCTCAGGCCCAGGTTCCCAGCTATCACTCTATCTTCCCTCAGTTGGGGGAAGGGATGAGGCAAAGGGACTCCAACCGTGTTCTAGCCAAGTAAAAGTAAGGGCTCTGGGGGAACCACCCTAGAACCTGCATGCTTTATCTGAGGCTTTACCCCCAAAAGAATAAGGAAGTTGTTTTCCTTTTAAAGGATATGTAATATTTCTCTTGCCAGGGTGAAATAATTAAGCATGAGACCAGACTGATGGACCCAATCCACAAACTACTACATTATATGGGAAGACATCTCAGGAGCAACGCGGGGGGAGGAGGGGTTAGCATCTTTTTCCCTCATAACCCAATCTTGGGATGTGGTGCTGGGAACTATTCCAAGCAATGGGTTGTGGTGACAGAGAAAAAGGGTGGTTGGGAGAACAGCCTCAGACCTGCTCCTCCTAACTCCCTCCCTCACTTTTTGGGGCCAGTGTAATTTTATTTAGTTGCTCCTTTGGATAGCTGCACCTTGAGTCCCACTTTCTCCAGGATGCCAACTGCACTGTGTGTGAACGACATATCTTGTGCATTTAACTTTTTTTCATAATATAAATATTCTGGCTTTGTATTTTTGTATATTTTAATCTAAGGCCCTGATTTCTGCACTGTGTTCTCAGGTACATGAGCAATCTCAGGGATAAGTTGGCAGCAGCTCCAGGTCTGCACAGCAGGAATACATTTTGTTTTTATCACTATGGAGAGCAAATATTTGCAGTGCATAGCCTATGAAGTGCACTACCTCATTTCTGCCAATCAGAGTTGAATCTTCTGCCATATTACCCTTTTAAAACCCCCTCCACCTTAAAAATGTTTGATAGGAGTCTAGGTTTTAAAGGGGTAGCCCCACAACTTGAACTTTGACTGGAAGATTGGAGATTAATCTAAATCGAAAAGGTGGTGCAGAGAAGTTAGGAGAAGCTAGGCCAGGTAAAAGGCTCAGAAAAGAAGCCAAGGTTAGGTGATGTGATGATTGTTGTCTAATCTTAGGGGTATGGGGCTTGCTTTACATATCTGATCCATCCTAGGCTAGATAGATAAGCCTAGCTTGACAATACACAAGTTGTGTGTGTTTGTATTTTTAAAAAAGTGATTTGGTAAGGCTGAGTTTTAAGATCAATACCCTTGTGCCCATTCTGTGCTGGGCAGGAATGACTATTTGAAGAAGCAAGGACTCAAATTATGAACCATCCGACATTCTTGGCTTCCAGAGAGACCCATAAAAGAGAGCCTCTGTGGTCCCAGGAGCCAGTATACTGCCCTGCTGAAGTAGTAATGAATAGTGTCTTGATAGCTAAAAAAGAAAAAAGGGGGTTCATTTACATGCTGTGAGATCACTGCAGACCTACATCACTGGTGAGACGGGACAATGCAATAGAATGCATTGGATAGTGTGTGTGTGTGTGTGTGTGTGTGTGTGTGTGTGTGTGCTCTTGGTTTCTGCCCTCCCCCAAATGCTGCCCCCCTTTTAATTATTGTTTGTCTGGGCTTTGTAGGACTTTTGCTGAGTCTCTGATTTGGTGATTGCTAAGTGGCCTAGTTTGTGTAAATACATGTTGGTCTTTTCTCCATGTTTTGGGGGGGTTTATTGTTTACAAAATTATTTTTGTATTGAGAGAAAACAGGCAAAGCATCTTTGAATGAAGGTTATGCACCAGGCAAAAGGATCTGAAAAATAAGTTGAGGGAGGCTCTTTTTGAAGTGGGGATCTTGGACCATCTTCTGTAGTCCCCTTTCTTGTGTTTCCTATTTGAGACTAAAGCTGTCCTATTTGAGACTAAATTTGTCTTTTTCTCCCCCTAAAGAACATCTACAAACCAACACACATATCTACTTAATTCTTAAAGTATCTCTGCAACTCTTAGATGACTTAGGCAGAAATCCTGAAGGAGCAAGGATCCCCTACCCCTTGTTCCCAACCTCCTGAGTCAGGATTGTTATTGGATGCAATTCATGCCTAACACCTGCTGTTTGCATGGCTCAGACCTACTCAGTTTGTAATCCTAGAGAAGCAAGTGGGCTCAGGAGACCAGCAAAGAGAGTATGAATGTATACAAGTCACTCAGAAATTTTTATTATGCAGGTGTAAGAAACTTATGTCAAAGTGGCCTCAAGATTGTTTAATAGGAGACAGACAAGTGTAACTCCATGTTTACTGCTAGAGATCAAAGCTTTATGTGAAATCTAGAATTTGAGGAGAGGGATGGATGGTGGAGGATGGGAAAGTATATAACTGTCTGTTCTTTCTCTTAACCCTTCACATCATTCCTGAATTGCCGAGACCAAGGCCCCTTGGGCTTTGGTGACCCCTTCTCTGGTGTGTCTGATGGTTGATTTTGCTATACCCCACTATACTTTCTTTCTCATTTTCTAAACTTTTTGTAACACATGCACTGACTTTTCCTTCCCTTCTCCTTGCCTTAGGAAAATACCATGAATAAAAAGTCTTATTGACACTCAAAAACAAATCTCCACAAATATTATAATATTCAGAAAAAAATTCATAAAAAATGATATCAATTAACCTTAAAAAATGATTAAAACTTGTGAACTTCCACATACCAACTGTTAAATACATGATAAAAATTAATAAAATGGTAGCATTAAAATTGCAAAAATCCAAGAACAATATCATCAGGATGTAAATATGTATTGCAAATACAGCATAAAATTCATAAATCAATCTGGAAAAGGAAGAAATGATTTGAAAAACACATTGTGTTTCTGAGTAAAAATTTGGATATAACTGCTGTATAGATAGATAATTCACTCAGCTACATGCAGCATATATATATATATATATATATATATATATTAAATTAATCTTAGAAAATGGAAGCTTTACTTTGGCTCAGCACTTTAGTATATTGTGTGTGTGTTTGTGGAGCTGTATTAGTTTTAGTCTGTGTTTTTGTTTTTCCTTTAAAGGACACACTACCTGTGATCTAAAACCTTCCACTGAGGCTCTTGCCACTAAAGTCCCAATATCTCCACATGGTGTGTTATGCTGGGGACCAAGGCTTCACCATGAGATTGGTGACATGCATGGTAGAAACTGCAACACACCAAAGGAATTTTCATATGTCAATCATTAACTACCAATGTTATCTCTCACTCAAATACAAAAAAAAATCCTAAAATTCACATGAAAATGAAACACCCAAACCCTCCAAGCCTGAACAACTAAGCATATAGATTAAAAAGCCAAACTATAAACCACTTCAAAACATGTATTAGGTGTGTATGTGAGACATGAATTAATTCAAGTTATACAGTGAATAGCTAAATGGCAGAAAAGACAATAAACAATCATTAAAATGAGGGAAAATCTTAACACAGATTTCACCAATGGAAACATTTAAAGGAGAAATGAGAATTTGGAAATAGGTGAGACATTAGCCCTCATTTAACAAAATGCACTTAGAAAAATAAAAGAACATATAAAAATAGAAGAGAGCACACAATAGAATAAAATGGTGATAAATGAGAAGGGAGTTAAGTGGATATAGTACAGTAAAAAAGATTAATGTGTGTTTCTGCATATGCAAACATGAGAACCTGAAAGTCCCAAATCTGTGCATATATAATGCATTGATATTCATTTTAAATTACATAAAAAAGCACAGATGTTACAATGTGTATGGATTAGATACACTTATGGCTCCACTAAATAAATTCCACATTTTCACTGAAATATGTTTGTAAATATACGTCCTTCTTTAAAAATCCCACAACAATCACATGAGATAAGTACATTCTTTCAGGTTAAATATATTAATAAACACCTTTTAATTTGTTTTTCATTTTATTTTCTGGATTGGTAAAATGTATTGTCTTCACTAACATAAACCATCTCTATTAGATTACTTTTACATTTTTTTTTTTTTGAACCGGGGATTGAACTCAGGCCCTTGCGTTTGCCAGGGAAGTGCTTATTGCACTGAGCCATCTCCTTAGCCCTAATTTTACATGTTTTATACAAGCTGATTTTAGAGGAAATGTCACTAGGGTTATGTATTTATAATTTGGATTGAGATTATGAATCATTTAGCTTGATTTAGTTGACGTAGATTTCATAATTCTGAAAACTGTAACAAACGTAATTGTTAAAGCTTCTCTTGTGCAACAATAAAGGTCTCCCTGTCATTACTTAGAAAGCTTACAATTGGATCTTCACCAGGACACAGAAGAAAAGCTGAGAGGAGGGTGGCCCTTTTATCACCATCTAGAGAGGATTTTATATTAGTGATTTAGCTACATACTATAAAAACTTTTAAGGATCAATACAGAAAGAAAAATAGCTTTTGGAATAGAAAATGACAAGACACAGAAAAGGATATCAGAAAATGGAAATATGCCCCTGGCTCATGGATAGGAAGAACCAACCTTTTCAAAATTACCATGCTCCCAAATTTATTATGCAGATTTAATGCAATTCCATTCATGATGCCATTAGCATATATCACTGATCTAGAGAAACCAATCTCAGTATTCACTTGTAAGCAGAAGAGACCTTCAGTAGCAAAGGCAATCCTGGGCAACAAAAGCAAAGTAGGAGGCATCACAAGCCCTGATCTGAAAATAGACCATGAAGACACTGTGAGAAACCAGCAAGGCACTAACATGGACACAGACCAGTGGATCAGTGGAGCAGATTGGAAGATGCAGACACAGTACAACCACACTCAGCCAAACTATCTTTTACAAAAGGGCCAAACATGTTCACTGGTAGAAAGCCTTTCTCATAAATGGTGTAGGGAAAACTGGATATTCTCATGCTAAAGACTAAAACTACATCCAGGTTGATCACCATACACTAAACTCAAGTCAAAATGGATCAAACATCTAAATTTTAAAACACAAACAGTAAACCTACTGGAAGGGAAAGTAGGTACATAGGTTGAAGACATAGGTCTAGGCCCAGAGTTCATGAAAACTCAAACTGCATGGATGTACTTAAAAGAATCAACAACTGGGCTCTCATTTTACAATAAAATGCACAGGAAAAGACATCACCAAGAAAATGAAAGGAAAACCCACAGAGTAGGACAAAACTTAGACAACCATCCTCCAGAAAAATAAATTCTTCTAACTAGAAAATATAAGACTGAAAAAAGTACTGCCACGAAATTCAAAGAGTCCAAAAATTGGTATTTGAAATGAATAGACCCTTCTCAGAGGAAGATACACAAATGGCAAATAAATACATGAAATGAGTCTGAGTAGAATGAGTGAGCTGAGTGGTGCAGCACTTGCATCTCGGAAACCCGTAGCACTAGCAGCATGGCTGACTGACTGAAGAGCAGACTGCAGAAGTCAAAGAAGCTTGTTCACTATCTGACAAAGATGGTGATGGAACTGTAACAACAAAGCGATTGGCAAGTGTAATGAGGTCTCTGGGGCAGAATCCCACAGAAGCAGAGTTGGAGGACATGATTAATGAAGTAGATCCTGATGGTAATGGTACAATTGACTTCCCTGAATTTCTGACAGTCATGTCAAGAAAAATGAAAGACACAGACAGTGAGGAAGAAATTAGAGAAGCATTCCGTGCATTTGATAAGGATGGAAATGGTTATATTAGTGCAGCAGAGCTTTGCCATGTGATGACAAACCTTGGAGAAAAGTTAACAGATGATGAGGTTGGTGGAGTGATCAGGGAAGCAGATATTGACGGTGATGATCAAGGAAACTATGAAGGTTTTATGCAGATGATGACAGCAAAGTGAAGGCATTGTACAGAATGTGTTAAATTTCTTGTACAAAACTGGTTATTGGCATTTTCTTTCTTTGTAACTTATCTGTGAAACGTTTCCCCCTACTGTTGAAAAAAATGTGCATTATAGTAGTTAGGACTTCACTCCTCCATTATTTTCATCCCATATCTTCCTGTCATTGTCCTGATACCTTATTTTAGAAAATGGATCAAGGAACATGTTGATGTGGCTTACTTTGAACTTATCTATGCCCTTCTGCACTCTAAACTTGGATAGGGTTAGGGTTAGGGTTAGGGTTAGGGTTAGGGTTAGGGTTAGGGTTAGGGTTAGGGTTAGGGTAGAAAAAAAATAATAAAATAAATAAACTTAGATGGAGTTGGTCAAATGAGGGGACATCTGGGTTATGCCTTTATTAGTAGGTTCTTTAGGAATTGTTAGCATGTTGTTGCAGAAGTGTGGAGTTGTAACTCTACAGGAACTATAGACAGTCAACAATATGCACTTAAAAGCTGCACTACTACAAAATGACTATATTATCCAGGTAAGCATACATTTTTATCCAGGTACGGCTGATCTTGTACCACAAACATTTTCTATTAAACTTTGTTTAGCCACTTTTTAAAAAACATCTGCTTATGGCACAATTTTCCTCAAATCCATTACAAGTAGTATATTCATTCACTTTCCAATAAAAAATACAATTAAAAAATATAAAATAAAATAAAAAATAAAAATTACAATTTAAAAATCAATAGATAGATGTATGAAAAAAATTTTCCACTGCACCGATCATTCAAGAAATGCAAATTAAAACAGCATTAAGACGCCATCTTTCCCAGAAAAAATGACTGTCATCAAGAAATCAAGTAATAACAATTGCTGATAGAGCTGCTGGGAAAATGGAATCCTTGTCCATTATTGGTAGGATGTAGTTTTGTACAACCACTGTGGAAACAAACGCTTGGATTTCCCAAAACACTAGAATTATAGGTCCTATTACATCCATCAATTCACCTTCTGGATATTTTTCCAAAGAAATTAAAAATATTATATCACAACAATATATGTGCACACACGTTTATACAAGCACAATTTTTAAAAGCTATATATTGGAAACAACCCAAATTCCTATCAACAGAGGAATGGACAAAAAATAAAAGATGAGGTATTGATATACAATGAGGTACTACCCAGGCGTAAGAAAGGATGAGCTTCAGAATTGTATAGGCAAACATGAGAACATATTCATAAGTGAAATAAATCGGAATCACAAATTCAAAGTTCCTATTGTCTCCTGAGTGTAAAAAAGAAAAAAAGGAAAAAAAGGTGATACAAAACGTACAAAGGATGTTATGAAATGAACAGAGGGGCCAGGGAAATAGCTCAGTAGAATAAGCACTTGCCTTGCAAGTTCAGGTGCCTGAGTTTAATCCCTAGTTCCGCCAAAAAAAAAAAAAAATGAAATGAACAGAGACTGCTGAATAGGATACAACAAGTGGGGTGGGGCAAAGGAGAAAAGAAAGAAAGGGAGAATAAAATACATATCTGCACCTGTCAATGTATAGCAGGAGGCCATGCAAATAGGGCCTCCCTGTGCTGATGAAAACCAGCCCAGCTCTGACCTGAGGCAGCAGTCACTACACTGTGACTAGAACTGAACACAGACAGCTCACCATGGAGCTTGGGCTGAGCTGGGTTTTCCTCCTTGCCATTCTGAATGGTAAATTATTTGGTAGAAAAGATACTGAGCATGTGAATGGGCATGAGTGGGATAAACAGTGGACCTGTCATGATTTCCTGAGCAGGATGTGTGTGTCTTTGCAGGTGTCCAGGCTGAGGTGCAGCTGGTGGAGTCCGGGGGAGGCTTGGTGAAGCCTGGTGAATCCCTGAGACTATCCTGTGTGGCCTCAGGATTCAATTTTGGGAGTTACGGCATGCACTGGATCCGCCAGGCTCCAGGGAAGGGGCTGGAGTGGATCTCAGCTATCGGTAGTACTGATACTTACTACGCAGACTCCGTGAAGGGCCGATTCACCATCTCCAGAGAAAACAGCAAGAATACACTATATCTGCAAATGAGCAGCTTGAAAACTGAGGACACAACCTTATATTACTGTACAAGAGACACAGTGAAGTGACACAATAGTGCACCCAGACAAAAAACCTCCCTGTGAGGGCACTTGTGGTCAGCAGATAGCGCTGTTGTCTATAGTGAACCAGGTTGGGCCCCAGTGCAGGTGCAGTGAAGGAAGCCATGGAGTGAAGGCTTCCTCTTGGCCTCTAGGGTTTCCCTTCTGTACACACATTTTAGGACCTGAGCCAACCCTGCAATACATGAGCTGCAGTGAAGTAGCCAATTTAGAGTAAACATTCTGTTACACTTCATTGCATAAGTGCATAAGAAGTCATGCCATTGTCATTGTCTATGTATCAATTTCACTTAATGGATAATCATAACTTGGATGCATCTTCAAGTAATGTGTAGCTAGAGGCTGTAGCTCATGGGTACAGCATTTAAATGCAAATATCATGTAAATTTTATAAGGTTACCTTTTGTAATACCATAAGCTCATCATTTAGAAATGAATCTTCTAGTTTAATCCCAAATATGAGAAGTTATCCTGTGCAGAGAAAAACTCTTCTAATTTTAAAATTAAATTCTTCACAACCTTCTTCACAGGGTTGGAGAACACCCAGCCCTCTCACCTTCTTGGCCACCTCGGGACACGTGGTCCCAAGGCTCAGTGCCAGCACCACATGAATCCCTGAACTCAGAAATATGGAAGAGAGGCAGCTTAATTTGGCTCAAGACAGTGTCTAGGGGCTGTGTTGTGCTGTTCCTTCCCCTCCTCTTTGTAGGACTTGCCCACTGTGATATTGGACTGATCATATCCACTTGAGTAAGAATCACCCAATTAAATTGGACCAGCACAGTTATAGGTGTGGCTGAAGGCATTTAGTAAAGACAGAAAATCCACATTAGGGAGATTTGTTGCCTGAATGGTATAAAAGTGAAACCAAGAAGAAAGGGTCACTTGTGTTTCTTCAGGCGAATTTCAGGGTGCATCTATACCAAATATTAAAACTACACCCATATTTGTTTCTTTACATTACACTGAAATTGAGGTCAATCAGAGATCTAAATATGAACACAGTAGCATTGGTGAGATATCTCAGCAGTCTAAAGCACCTGCTGAGGCAAGCTTAGAAAGGCACAGGGGACTGCAGTTCCATCCCAGGTACCGCATGCCATGCCAGCCCTGCCCTCAGAACAGCTGAGCCAGCCAAAATAAGAAATAAAAAATAAACATGAACATCAAACACTAAATGTTATGGAAGATATAACAGGTAGAACTCTTGAAGACATTAGAGTGGGCAAAGACTTCATGAACAAACTCCAATTGCAATGAACAAGAAATAAACAACTGGGATTTCATCTTATTAAAAATTTTGCACAGCAAGTGAAACCTGCATTGGTGTGAAGAGTCACACTAGAGAGTGAGAAAATGTTTTTGGCAACTTTTCCTCAGGAAAAAGACTACCATCTAAGATATACAAAGACGTGCCAGAGTCAGAACTTCCCAAATTTAAAGATGCAATCAAAAACTGAACATCTGAAATGAGTAGAAACATCTCACATGAAGAATTAGAAATATCAAAAAATATATCAAAAATATCCAATATCATTGGTTCTTTGGAAGATACAAATTAAAGCAACACTGAGATGCCATGTCACTCAAAAAAAGAATGGCTGTTTTCAACAAATCAACCAATGACCTATGTTGGCAGGGTTCTAGGGAATAGATAATTCCCATCCCCCATTGGAGGGAGTATAAACTAATGAATCCACTATATAAATTAGTGTGGAGATTCCTCAAAAAAAGTAGAATTACAGGCTCCCCATGGCCACCCCTTCTTCTCCTTGGTATCTAACTGCAAGTATTACACACATCAAACCACAATGACTGATGCACAACCATGCTCAGAGCACCACAGTTTGTAACAGCTAAATCTTGGAAATAGCCCAAATTGCCACTAACTGATGAATGCATGAAGAAGATGTGTATTTTTTATATACTGAATCTAATGCTCAGTGATGCAGAAGGAAGATCATGAGACACTTCTAGGTAAACGATTGCACCCGAGAACATACTCTTCAGTGAAATAAATGAGACACAAAAGTGTAAAAGTCATTTTTTCTCTCATGTGAGAACCTGAAAGTGTAAACAAGGACCAAAATATATAATAACTACTGTGAAATAAGGTGAAAATATTCAAATGGGAACGAGCATTTGAGATGGAGCTGGGGGAGAGGAAGAAAAAGAAAAGAAGAAATTAGAGGCTTCTTAAAGAGGACCATACTACATCAGCTGAATAATAAACTCTGGTTAAAAAAAAATGTTCAAATGTAGCTGTATTGATTCAGAGAGTACTTTAAGTTCTCCTAAGGTCTGAGCATCTTATGGCTAAGAGCATCAACTGTTCTTTTAAAATTCTGAGAAACCATTCCGGTTACTTTGAGTTCTCTCATTGCTTGTATTCTAAACAAACAGATGTTTGCTGAACTTATGCTGCTCTGAAAGTAAATATTTCTGCCTTACAGAGGAAGCCTCTGTGCTTTCTTTATTTCTCTTGTACTTTCCCAGTCTCTTGCTATGTTGGTGTATGTATTAGTCTAGAGTAATGTGACTTATTAATTAATTCATTAACTAATCCAGTCAACTATATTAAGAGGGGTAACTTCGAGCTCAGTGTTCTGAGAGATTTTCCAATGGCTTGTCCATTTCTTGAATGAAAAATCAGAGAGGTCGGCAGTAGCTCCTCCAGTTAAGGACACTGGTATGACAGCTCCTGTTTTCAGAAAGCTCTTTAGGAATATGATCCAGAGCTCCCAGGCTGTGAGTTCTGCTCTCCTGTTCACCCACTTTCTCTAGAAGAGGTGGGAAGAAAAAGATGGAGGAGAAGAGGAAGGAGGAGGAAGAGGTATAACAAGAGTTAAGAATAGAAGGGTAGGGGATATATGTACAGGTCCAGTGTGCATTCCAGGGTTCTGAAAAGTGGCCATAAAGGTATATATCATGGGGCAGTTCTCAGCCCATTTCAATGTTCTGATAACCAACTAATCCATTTCTTTTTCATTCTAAGGTACAAGGTGGGGATTGGGGAGATGGGAAAAGGGGGAAGTAAAGCATCATACAAGGCAAGTAATGGTATGATTTAAAAGACACCCAATTTGGAGTCTAGAAAATTGAACAGCATTCTGGCTCTTCAGTTTACCGGAAGTATGACTGGCTGAGAAAACCTGTCAGAAACTCAGCTTCCTAATCTGTATAATGGAAAAAATATTGTTATCTTCACAAAATGTCTGTGAAGTTGAAATAAGAAAAGGTGAATGTATAAACTTTGAATGTCACAGATTGGTCTTCAAATGTAGAGAATAATTACTACCATTAATAACAACACACTCTCAGCTTTGAGCTGTTCTCTCCACCTCTCTTCCTCCTCCTAGAGAGCATAATAATGTGGTCTGTGATTACTCATGGAAGTTGCATTTCCCTATTAGTTCTTCTTACACAATAATTTTATTGAAATCCATTAAAATACTTTAGGCAACCTTCTTAAAAAACAAATATAGATGCATTGTCTTTCACTTGTTGCTATTATTGTCGTATATAGTATGAACCCAAGAAAAGTGCTATTATTATCACAATGTACTATGTTCTATCTTTATTTGTTAAGAAAATACTTTTATATCCAACATAATCTCCACAAATATCATAATAATCAGGAAATAAATTCAGGAAAATGAATATCAATTAGCCTTAGAAAAATGATTATAATTTCCAAACTTTCACATGCTAACTGTTAAATACATCGTAATAATTAGTGCAATGGCAAGATTAAAATAGCAAAATTCCATCAAGTATGAAAAGGTCCTTTAATGACTTCTCCAAACACAGCTTCTCTAACTGCAATGGAACACACATCTTTGACAAAACAAAACAAAAAAGATGGATATGTTGGGAGCCAGGGAAGATAGGAAATTGATCAAATGCATGTAGGTGGAACTAGACCTCAGTGCCTAAAACAAACAAGCTACCTCAGTCCTGAGATAAACATCCTGTCTAGTTAAAGTCAGCTATTAGTCACTAGAAAACCTGTGTCACATGTTACTAACTTTGCAAACGTATAAATAAAATACTGTTTTGTTGTGGAAAAAATATATATGTATACACAAGATAGGCGAGATAAACAGCTACTTTCTCTTAGTTCATGGAGAAGAAAGGTTTGTACTAACATTGTTTAGACAAGAGGGTGTGTCTACATCTTGTCCTCTGAATAACTACTATGAAGACAACAATATGCAATGTATTCATTATCGCAACGATTCTACTAACCTATTTTGAAACTGTTTCACTGCTGTTTTATCTTTTTTCTCATTAAAATGAATACAAAATAGCAAACTTCCATGAGCAATATAATCAGAATGTACAACTGTAATGCAAATTCAGCACAAAATTGATAATCCGAAAAACTCAAAATTGATTTGAAAAAGACATTGTGAAAAAGAATATGTATAAATCATGTGTACAGCGAAATAGTAATTCAGGGTGCAGATCTACTAAGTTTGAGTTCATCCATTTGTGTCTAGCTTGGGTCTGGCTACTGTGCTCAGCTCCTTCCTGCTGCAACCCTTGGAGGTGAACCTGTTTTGCCCCTCTGGCAAGATGTTCTGCTCCTGGATTAGCTGGGTGGTTTTGGCCCCTAGTCTCTGTACAGGGACTTCAGCTGCAGAGTTTCACCCCAGGCCTGTATGCCACGCCTGGGCTGGGTCTAGAGGGATTCAGGGGGTGCAGGAGAGCGCAGAAGCTCTCCAATACACTCACTGGGTCTGGTCTTGGGCGGGTCTAAAGGAGTCCCCAAGAGCGCGGCGGAAGTTCTCACTCACAAGCCAGGCTTGGGCTGGCTCTGGAGGGGTGAAAGGGACCCCAGAGTGCGGCAAAAGGTCTCACTCATGCGGCGGGAGCTGTACTTGGTCCAGAGAGGTCCAGCAGGTGCAGAGAAGCATGGAAGTTCTCCCACACACTGGAAGGGGCTGGGCTTGGGCGGGTCGGAGGGGCTCCCAGAGCCCGGCAGAAGTGGAAACAAACCAAATGCACATGAACTAAGGCATGGGTAACCGAGATGTGGAAATTTTATACAATAAAGTATCCTTATTCAGCAATGAATAAGGATAAACCCGAGGATTTTTATAGGTAAAGAATTTGATACCATATTAATAAGTGAAATAAATCAGATTTACAAATTTAAACATTGTATTATCTTCCCAATGTAAAAAACCGAAAGAATTAAAGCGATACAAATTGCACAATAGATGTTATGAAACGGGAAGAAACAGATGAAAAGGAAAGAACAGGGATGGGGAAAAGGAGAAAAGGAAAGATAGATATAGATATAGATATAGATATAGATATAGATATAGATATTCCGCAGAACGGGATATATAGCAGGAGGCCATGCAAAGAGGGTCTTCCTCTGCTGACGAAAACCAGCTCTGCTCTGACCTGAGGCTCTCGATTAGAGCTCAGCCTTGGAGGCCAGCCATCACCACACTGACTAGAACTGAACACAGAGGGCTCATTACGGAGCTTGCGCTGAGCTGGGTTTTCCTGTTTGCCATTTGGAAAGGGAAATTATTTAGTACAAAACGTACTGAGCACCTGAGTGGACAAGAGTGGGATGAACAGTGGACCTCTGTGATGATTTCCTGAGTAGAATGTCTCCGTGTTTGCAGGTGTCCAGGCTGAGGTGCAGCTGGTGGAGTCCAGCGGATGCTTGGTGCAGCCTGGAGGGTCCCTGAGACTGTCCTACCTCACAGCGGGATTCAACTTCATGGGCTCTGGCATAAAACAGATCCACCAAGCCCCATGGAAGGGGCTGGAGCAGATTGCAACAATCTATTACCATAGTAGTAAAATGTACTACACAGACTCCATGAAAGGTTGATTCACCACGTCCAGAGATAACATCAAGTAGATCTGCACCCTGAATTTCAGTAGGTGCTAAGGTTTGTTTCCAATATATAGCTTTTAACATTGTGCTGCTATAAACATGAGTGCACATATATTTTTGTGATATGATATTTTTAATTCTTCTAGGGAAATACCTCAAAGGGGAATAGATGGGTTTAATAGGACCTATAATCCTAGTGTTTTAGGAAATCTCTACACTGATTTCCACAGTGGTTGTACCAAACTACATGCCCACCAATAATGGAGAGGGACTTCTTTATCCCCAGAGCTCCATCAGCCATTGGTATTAGTTGATGTCTTTCTAATTCTAGGATATGTGTTGCCAAAGCGAGCGCATTAATTGATGTCTTGGTGACAGTCATTCTTTGTGGGGTGAGATGAAGCCTCAGTTTTGTTTTAATTTACATTTCTTCAATGATCAATTACGTTGAATACTTTTTCTTATATTTTGACATTTGTATTTCTCATCTGAGAAGAGTGTATTCATCTCAGATTCCAAAACTTGGATTGTCTCTTCTATTGGATCCTGCCTATTATCAGTTCTTCATCTTTTCTAGATGGAAGTAATTTGTCTGAAGGACAAAGGCTAACCGTTTTTCTTTTCATTCTGTTGGTGGTTTCTTTTGGTGAGCAAAGACTTTGTAATAAAAGGAGGTCCCAGTTGTTGAATCTTTTAAGTACTTTTCATTCAGTTTGAGTTTTGTTCATGAAATCTGTGCCTACACATATGTCTTCAAGATTTGTATCTACTTTCTGCTCCAGTGAATTTAGTGTTTGTGTTTCAGTATTTAAATCTTTGATCCATTTTGACTTTAGTTTAGTACAAGGTGATAGAACTGGATCTAGTGGTAGTTGTTAGCAAGTAAAAAGGTAGTTTCTCAGGACCATTTATTAAAAGGGTATCCTTCTTCCAGTGCATGCTTCTGACCCCTGTGTAAAAGAGAATTTGGCTGAGTGTGGTTGTAGTTGTGTATACATCTTTTGATCTGCTTTACTGATGCAGAGGTCTATTTCTTTGTCAGAACCATGCTGGTTTCTCAGCAGCTTAGTGGTCCACTCTCAAGTCAGGGCTTATGCTGTCTTCTGCTTTGCTTTTGTTGCCCAGGATTGCCTTTGCTACTCGAGGTCTCTTCTCTTTCCAAGTAAATTTTCAGTTTTTTTCTCTAGATCAGTGACATGTGCTAATAGTATTTTGAACAGGATTGCATGAAATCTGTGTAACAGTTTTGGGAGTACGATAATTTTGAAAATGTTGCTTCTTCTTATCCATGAAGCAGGGACATCTTTCCATTTTCTGATATCCTCCTTTTTCTGCTTCTGTGTCTTGTCATTTTCTGTTTCAAAATGTATTTTTTTCCGGGTTAATCCTTGTAAGTTTTTATAATAGGTAGCTGTAACATTAGTATCAAGTACACTCTAGATGGTGATGCAAGCTTGTCCTTTTCAAATCAAATTGGTAGGACAGTTTCAATAATTAACACATTGCATACATTCTTTCTAGTGGTTAATTGCTGTACAAGATGTGGACATGATATCCTATTTACAAACACCATTAGAATAAATCCCTCTATTCATTAATTTTCTAAGATGAATTTCTCTCAGGTATTTATTAAGCCATGTGTAGCAGACAGAATTACTAACATCATTGTTAGCTGGAAAAAAAAAACCTCTCTGGTAGGGCGCTATGCCCAGCAGGAGAACACCTACAATAATTTATCAATATTATTTGGAGTCACTAATTCGAAGGCAACATTTTGAAAGTGTCCAATCATAGTTTATGCAGTTTTGATACAGTGAATTAAAGGGACCATTGTAGTCACAAAAATAAATATGAATGTAATTATTATGTAACTTAAACATATGCTAATACAACAAAATTTCAAAAACAGCAACCTAACACTGTCTCAGAATTAATAAGGTGTTTCTCATTGCTTACATAACTTTAAATATGTTTTTCTACAACTAGGGCAAATGTTTTTGCTTAAAATCCAACTGCTTAACTAGGGAGACCTCCACCTCTCCTTCCTAACCTGGTTCCATCTCTCTGGAGGCTGTCACCTTGGCACTACTGTATGCTGGGTACAGCATGGCTGATCTTCAGATATAAGCTAATGCTGTTTCTTCCCCAAACATCTTTCCCAGTCTCAATGTCATAGTGGAAATCAGAGTGCAGCAAGCACCTGTGGAATCAGCTCAGGGCCAATCCACAACCACCGCTCTCAATACACCTTAGAAATAAGAAACAAACACCACATCAGAGGGCAAATGAGATCATGAGTGTCTACTTGGAGTTCTCTTACAACCCAACAAATCTCTCTCTCTCTCTCTCTCTCTCTCTCTCTCTCTCTCTCTCTCTCTCTCTCTCTCCTCAGCTCATGTGTTCCTATTCATTGCTTAAAATAACAAATCTTAATTTGTAGTGTGTTCATATGAGAACAATTTTCTGTAGCTGAGATATAAATCTACAATGCCCATCCACATACTGATGAATACATCAGTAAATATGGTGTGTATTTAAGCCAAAATATTTTCTGCAATTCATGACATGTGCCTACTACTATAAGAAACTGTATTAAGAAATACTATGCTAAACCTAGACAGAGGGGCAAACATATTCTCTTTTACTAACTGAATCTAAAATTTTAATTCCAGCAGCTGGAACATGGGAAAGATAAAGATGCTCATCAAAGGATGGAACATTCTCCTTAGCTGGGAGGAATAAGAAATAGAGTCACAACCCTGTCAATCTGGCCATCAGGAGGGCAACGTAGAATGCTCACATACATTGGAGTCCACCTTGATCTATGCAGTGAGTTAAAGTTGAACACAAGAGCTCAGTCTAAAATGTGAAGCACTGTTTCATGAACATTAGCCAACAATAAGAATGTGGATGCAATATGATTAGCAAGTGGGTGTTCAAGCTGAATTTTAGAGACATTGTTACTATGTACAAGGTGTCTGTCATACGTAGTTGACTAAAAAGGGACAACTATAAGGAGATAAGTACTTTGGATATAGAACTCATCCTCAAAATAAGAGGGAGAGTTCAACCAGGACACAGCACATGTGGTCTCTAGCTCTTCCCAAATGAATAAGAATTTCATTGTGAGGAAAGCACAGAGCACATATCCTTATTTCCAGTTTCTGCTGGATCTGGTCAGGTGGCACTTGTGTCACATGATGTTTCACAGCAGGAGGCAGGTGAACCTGACTTGACACTGAAAATGTCAAGAAAGCAAGCTGTTGACCATCATGGATATCTGGAGGACACAGGTTAGTGAGGGGGACACAGTAATAAACAGTGTAATATTATCCTGAAGCAGCGGCACCAGAGCCCTCAGGAAGGAGGAGTTGGGATTAGCACAGAATGGAGAACAATGTAGCCGCAGCTGATGTTGGCCCGGGAAGGTGGGGTCGTCATCACCCTGCATCCAGCACTCCTCTGAAATCAGCTTCAGAAACTGAGCTGAGGCTTGGAAACAACCACATCTCACAGCTTTAGCCCCAACTAGAATTCAGGATAAGAGGTTCTTTTCTGTAGCACTTAAAGATCAGATATGGCCTGACATCAGTGCCTGCTTCATATAGGAAGTGTGCACCCAATATGCAAATTTCTTCTCCAGATCTAGATTGAAAATTCGCTCATGGGTTGGGGGAGCTCACAGCCCCAACCTTACAGAGCACGGAGCTCTCACAGAAAAGCAGTGTGTGATCTGGAAGATGAGACTGCTGGGTCTTCTCCTGTGCCTGGTGACATGTCCCCAGGGTGAGTGTCCTCAATCTCAGATCTATGTCCTTATGAAGATTTTCAAAGCAGGAGACTGACAGGAAGATTTTATTGTCCCCAGGTGTCCTGTCCCAGGTGCAGCTGCAGGAGTCCGGACCTGGCCTGGTGAAGCCCTCACAGACGCTGTCCCTCACCTGCTCCGTCTCTGGTTTCTCCATCACAACCAGTGGTTATGCATGGTACTGGATCCGTCAGCGCCCAGGAAAGAGCCTGGAGTGGATGGGGTACATAAACTCCGTTGGTAACACTGGCTACGACCCGTCCGTCAAGAACCGCATCTCCATCTCCAGAGACACAGCCAAGAACCAGTTCTTCCTGCAGCTGAGCTCTCTCACTGCGGAAGACACAGCCATGTATTACTGTGCAAGATACACAGTGATCTCATACAAGTTTAAGTCAAAACATAAACCGTGCTGCAAGGAAACTCAGGACCAGCAGGGGGCGATCAGCCAAACTGCTCTATTTAACCGAGTTCACCAGCCTGTGGTAAAAACCTGGAGAGTTTCATGTCAAGGTAATTAGTATCCCCTTCCCAGGAATATAGATTCCAAGGATCTTTTCTATCTCTGGTCCTCCTGTGTCATGCATTTAAGAAGTCAGGCATTTTTTGCTCTTTTTTTAAGTGTAGAATATTTTACTTTTTAAAAACAAAAAGATCAGAAACAGAAAGATGTTAAATTGTTAATCATTGGAGATGGACCATGCATATTAAATTCTGTACATTTCTACCTACTTAAATTTTCTGTGTATTTAAGTATATATTAGTAGGTCATTTCTATTCCTTTTTTTCATAATTTTATTGAGAAACAAATAGCAATGAGACAGTTTCCAATCAAATTGGTAGGACAGTTTCAATAATGAGCACATTGCATACATTCTTCCTAGTGGTTAACTGCTGTACAAGATGCAGACATGATATCCTATTTACAAACACCATTAGGACAAATCCCTCTATTCATTCAGAGAATGTAACTATATATCTATCCTAACCACTTTGGTTTTTTTTTTAACTTTATTTATTTGTGTGTGTGTGTGTGTGTGTGTGTGTGTGTGTGTGGCCAGCTCAGCCCACCAGGGGGCGGGGCTGGCTGGCATGTGGTGCTGGGGGATTGAACTGCAGTCCCTGTGCTTTGCTAAGCTTGTTCTAAGTAGGTGCTTTAGACCACTGAGCCATCTCACCAGCCCTATCTTAACCACTTTGAATACTCAGATACAAAATGGACATTCGTCTGTATCCTCTTTTTTTGTTAAGTTCCATTACTTGAATATTATAGTTGTGTAAACTCAGCAAAATATTCTAAAAGAGTCCAGTAGTCCATAATAGTATTGAGTCTTCCACTTGAGAAGTCAGGCTTTATATCCATTTATTTCAGTATTGTTTGCACAAGAAATTTTCAGTGAAACCATTGTTCACAGTTAAACTTGACCATGCAGTCTCTTGAATTTTGATGTGTAGAAACATTTAATCATGAAAATGATTTCTCTGTTTTCTGCTGATTTGCCCTCCACCATCAGAAACATTTGCAGGGATTCTTAATCTGAAAACTCTTTTCCCAGTTCCTGTTCATGAGAAGACCTTTAGTATGAAAGGCAGGAAAATTTGTCTATGTTGATCTGAGGGTTCACTTGTTATTTTTATTATTTTTCTTCTAATTATCATCATTATTTTATCATTTTAAATCATATTGTTATTATTTATTGAAGATGTTTAGTTCCCCGCTGCTGGTGGTATACGGAAATGCCTTAGAGAACCTCGGTAGGTTCTGCCATTGAGGGGCCACTCTCAGGGTCTCATATTTAGAGCCCATCAATGTTTTCCCACATCTCACAATCATAGCACACTGCCTAAGCATATATTTTTCTGGATCTAGATGTTAATAGAGCCGAGACGTAGTAACTCTGAAGCAATGTCTTAAACATCATGTCTGCATTCTAAAGTGAAGTTTTATATTTACATTGTTTTCAATTTAATTTGGACATCTACAGCAGCTGGTTTGAGCATGACAAGAAGCACTATTTTCCACTTCTTTCTCATCTGATTGTTGGTCTGGGAGCAGTGAGTGGCATAAACCCGGATCCATGAAACAAGGAGATGGCCAAAGCTGTCTGTACACCAAAGAAAATGCCAACGTCTTCCCAAGTGGAACTTGAACATCAGCTCAATCCATTCTACCCTGAAACACTCAGGACATGTCTGGGTCAAGATTGACTGTGAGCAATGAACTTTGCATTTCTACTCCGATTAAGAAAGAGATAGTGGATAACAGGGATTGGAACCATTGAAAATGTTGTTGACAAGATTCACTAGGAGGCTGAGCACAAGATATATCTAAAGAACACTTCTCCATGCTACATTTCCTTATGTAATTCAATGGACAGTACTTGCTTCAAGCTTCTAGAGAAAGAAAAACAAGTCAAGCCAAAAACCCAAAGAAGTGAGGAAATCATAAAGATTAGAGTACAAATTAATGAAATTGACACAAAGCAACAATAAAAAGAATTGATGATTCAATACCTGGTTGTCTGAAATATTAAATAAAACTGATAAACCCCTAGAAAACCTCACCAAAAAGAGGAAAAAAAACCCTCAAATTTAACCAATAAGACATGAAATGTGTCAAATTACTATACATCCTATGGAAGTTTGGAATGTCATCAATATCTAGTTTGAAAATACTTACTCTCATAGAAAGGAAAGTCCAGAATAAATGGACAGATTCCTGGACAGTTACACTTTACCAAAACTGAATCAAGTAAATACCAAAACTATATATAATGAAATATTAGCCAATGAAATGGAAAATGTAATGAAAAACTTGCCAACAAAGAAAAGTCCTGATACATTGACAGCTAACTTCCACAAGAAATTCAGAGAAGACTTTTTTTTCTATTTCAATTGTAGTTTTTATTTCTTTTGTTCCAAATGAATTTTTTTTCATAATTTTATTGAGAAACAAATAGCAATGAGACAGTTTTAAACCAAATTAGTAAGACAGTTTCAATAATTAACACATTGCATACACTCTTTCTAATGGTTATTTTCTGTACAAGATACAGACATGATATCCTACTTACAAACACCATTAAAACAAATCCCTCTATTCATTAAGATAATGTAACTATATAACTATCCTAACCACTTTGAATACACAAATACAAAATGGACATTCATCTGTATCCTCCTTTTTGGTTAAGTTCCGTTATTTGAATACTATAGGTATGTTAACTCAGCAAAATATTCTAAAAGAGTCCAGTAGTCCATAATAGTATTGGGTCTTCCACTTCACTGGCAATGTCAGAAATTGTGGACCTGAGTCCCCTACAGCTCAATATAACAGCATGGCTTTACTTCTTATATTTCGTTTTTATACTTTCCTGCTGGATGGTTAAGACCAAGGTAAAGCAGGATCTACGCAACAAAAGTTGTAGCTTTTGGGTCTGATAAGGTCAGTGAAATCCCCTCAGGATTTATTCTGAGATCCTGTACCTCAGATTGTAGAACCTTTGTCAGTGTCAGCCACGTGGATGAATCATGGCCATTGCTTGGCCAATGTGCTGTCTGTGAAAGCCTGAGAGAATGTTTTCTCTCCATGTGACCCTCTTTATGCAAACCTCTCCATGTGACCCTCTTTATGCAAACTCTACATCATTGATCACTTTCCTCTTTGGCCTCATAATCTCCTTGTTCAGTAAACTTGGGACACTACTGAGTTCCATGATGTTACAGTACAAGTTCTCATGTTTCCTGAGTCATAATTGACCTTGGAGGGCTAGGGCCAAAATGATGGCTTTCCTTGTGTCCCTCCTTTTTCTCTAAATTTGGTCTGCAAACTTAGGTTGTTAACCATCCAGAAGACAAGCTTATTGTTATTGCCATACAACCTAGGCTTTTAGGCTTAACCTCACTATCTGTCTGAATATCAAACATCTTAGGCATAACATGGAACAGGTATTTTTCATCAAGTATTGATATGTTGAACTTTAAGTCTCTACAGAATATGATGAAAAAACATTTAAAAATTAGAATATATTTTTTAAAATAAGCATAAAAATTATATACTTTTTATGTTTACACATAAGTCCAAAAATCTAACAATATACGATCTTGAATCAGGACAGTCCCACAACATTCCTTTTCCTGTCTCTTGCCTTCATTCACCACCCCTTTCATTTTGAACAACCATCTACCCGAGAGAAAGCATAGCAGCAAATGGCATGTCATGACAAGCAGCCCGTATTCAGAAGACCAGAATGACAGGTACTAAAAACATGAAACTACTATTACAGATTACCATCTGCAGTGCAGTTGCTTAGTTCACAGGTATCAGGATATATAGTTAGTCAGGGTGGGAATCTTTCCAATTAAGTGCTATATTCAAAAATCTTCTGGAGATTCTCAAGATCATTGCCTTGGTCATCTTCTGCATATAACTGCATGGTTTGTCACTGTCATGTTTCCTAGCACTTCTCCTTTCCCTCTCTTAATTAGCTAGTCCTCAAGTTCTTGCTTTCCTTTTACTTGTATTATACCTTTCTGTTTGTACGTCTTCTTTTGAGTTAGAGAAGACTTTTAATCACAATACTTCTCAAACTCCTCAATGAAACTGAAAAGAAAACAATATTCCACAACTCATTCCTGGAGGCAAGTATTATAGTTATACCATAACCAGAGACTCAACCAAAAAAGAATTACCAGCCAATATCCCTCATGAACATAGATGGAAAAGTCCCCAATAACATAGTAGCAGGTATAATACAGCAAATTATCAGGAAGATTTAACATCATAAGTAGATAGGGTTCTTCCTGGGCATAAAAAGCTAGTTCAACATATGTAAACCTATTAATATAATGCACTACTACAAGAAACCCAAAACCGAAACCCTCATGATGATCTCAATAGATGCAAAAAACTAGGATAAAGTCCCTTTCAACCAAGCCATTCCACTTCTGGGTAGTTTTCCAAAAGAACTTCAAAAAACATACCACAGTGCACTCTTGTGCAACCATGTTTATAGCATCACAATTTGTCATGATTATAACAACACAATTTCTCATAGCAAAATCTTGGAAACTGACAAAATACACAATATCTGAGGAATGGACAAAAAAGATGTGGTATTTTTGTACAATGGAATATTACCCAGCTATAAAGACAAACTTGAAGCCTTTATAGGTAAGTGGATGCAACTAGAGGCTAACTGATAAGTGAAATCAATCAGTCCTACATGTGTAGTCATCATATTGTCTCCCTGGGGTAAAAACCTGAATGGATAAATAAGGTCCGAAAAGTATAAGAGACAGTAAAATACAAAGGAACTAAACAGAAGGAATAAACAATGAAAATGAAGAAAAGGACCAAAGGCTAGGGAAAAAGGAAAATATTTGCAAGTATACATACAGGATAGCTGAGAAGACTGTGCTACCAATTTCCATCAGGTTTTTGAAAGTAGTAGTTAATGGATAAATGTTCACTTTGACTGTGTCTATATGCTAAAATCTGTAATCTGTGCAACTACATCAAAGACAGCAATGTGCAACTCAAAAACCACAAGTGAATATCTCTCGTTCTGTTCCTGTAAATGTGTACCATTTCTAATGCTTTATCAATCATTGTTATAGTTTCTTTAAAATAAATTAAAATATAAAAGTAAAAAGGGCAAGAAAAACTTATGCTTATTGAAAGCAAGGATTAATGTTTAATTATTTGATCAGTTTTGCATGCCTATATCTGTTACGCTAAGCAACAGATTCCATGATAAAAATACATAATATAAAAACCCTTGTTAATTTTTTATTCTTGTTTTCAAACTCTATACCATATATGTAGTAGCATGTTAGTCTCTCTTTCTTTTCTTATTATGTGTTTTTACTTTCGTATTTGTTTTCACTCTTTACAATGAAATTAAAAGAAAAACTGTAATAAATGCAAAAGAAGATAAATGGATATAATAGAGTAAAAAAGACAGATGTGTGTTTTATGCATGTACAAATATTACAACGTAAATGTCCCCAATTGGTGTATATATTAGGCACTGATATTTATTTTATATTACATAAAAATGTATTGCTGTTGCAATGTATAGAGATTAGATATATTTACACAACCACTAAATAAATTTCTCATTTTCATTGACATATTTCTAAATATCCTTCCTTCTTAAAATTTCCACTGGGCCTAGAAGAGAGCTCAGTAATGAAGTGCCTACCTGGTAAGCACAAGGTCCTGAATTCAATCTCCAGTAAAAAAAAAAAAAGAATGAAAAATACACTCAATTCTCACATGACATGGTATGTTTTTCAGTTTAAATAGACAGATAAGTACACTTTGAATTTGTTTCTCATTTTAATTACTGGTGTAGAAAATTGTAGTGCCTTAATGAACATAGACAATCACCATTCCATTACATTATAGATATTTTGAGTAAACTGACTTGAGAAAAATGTTGGAAGGATTATTTATTTAAATTTTGGATTGAGATTATGAATCATTTAGATTACTTAATAGATGCAGATTCAGTAATAGTTAAAACTATGATGAGCACAATTGTGAACGTTTCTCTTGTCTATGACAATAAAGGTCTCTCTATTGCTGCTTAAGAATCTTACAGAAGACCCAATACTATTATGGGCTATGGACTCTTTTGAAATATTTTGCTGAGTTTACACAAGTATAATATTCAAATGACGGAACTTAACAAAAAAAGGGTATACAGATGAATATCCATTTTGTATCTGTGTATTCAAAGTGGTTAGCAAAGATATATAGTTACATTCTCTTAATGAATAGAGTGATTTGTTCTGATGGTGTTTGTAGATAGGATAGCATGTCCGCATCTTGTACAGCAATTAACCACTGGGAGGAATGTATGCAATGTGTTGATTATTGAAACTGTCTTACCAATTTGATTTGAAACTGTCTCATTGCTATTTGTTTATCAATAAAATTATGGGGAAAAGAAGAATCTTACATTTGGATTTCTGCCAGGACACAGGTGAAATGCTGAGAAGAGGGTAGCCTCTTGCATCACCATTTAGAGAGGTCTTGATACTAGTGATATAGCTACGTACTGCAGAAACTTATAATAATCACCACAGAAAAAAAAATTGAAGCTGAAAATTATAAGACACACAAGTAGAAAATAGAAGGATATCAGAAAATGGAAAGAGGTACCTGGATCATTGAAAGGAAGAGTAAACATCAAAGTTACTATACTCAAGACTTGAGCGACAGCTTCGTGGTCTAAGAACTTGCCTGGCAAGTGCAAGTACCTGAACTCAATCAACTACAGGACATGCCATGCCTTCCCAGGACCCCAGCACACCATGCTGACCAGGAAACCAGATGTGGTGGTGCCGTCTGTTATCTCAGCACTAGGGAGGCTGAGCTTGGAGGATCACTACAAGTCTGAGCTGTGTAGTGAAATCCTGTACCAAAGATAAGGAAAGAAAGGAAGAAGGAAGGGAAGAAAAAAAGGAAAGGAAGCAGGAAGAAAGGAAGGAAGGAATGAAGAAAGGAAACAAAGAAAGATTTTACAAAATTACAATACTCCAAAAACTGTTGTACAGATTTAATGCAATCTTATTCAAAATACCATCAGCACATATCACAGATATAGTGTTATGGTTTGTGTCTAGTTGTCCCCCCCCAAAGCCTCATGCAGTCATTAGGCAGGGACTTATAGAGTCTGTGATTAAATCATGATCCAATGGGATCATGGGTGATGCAAGGCTGCGATTATGGATCTTAGTACTGCTGGGATTATGGGTGTGTATACTTCCCCCAGCCTGGGGTAGAGAGCCAGAATATAACATAAGAGAAATGGAGAAACAGACGTCCTCTCTGCCCCCTTGATTGCTGCTAGTCCTCCCTTGGCTCCTCTTCCTCTTTGCAACCACCAGAAACTCTTGTGCTCTGCCCTGTGCCACTCTGCCTTGCAGCTAGCTGAATATGGACTGAAACCTCCAACAACTGTGAGTTGAGTAAATCTTTCCTTCTTTCATTTTGGGTGTTGGGTATTTGTCCCAGCAATGAGGAAGAGTAACTAAGGCATGTAGATAAAACAATTTTAAAATTCACTTGGAAATAGCCGAGACCTACAATAGCAAGGCAATCATGGCAAACAAAAGCAAGCAGGAGGCAGCAAAATCATTGAAATTACACTACTAAGCCCATATGATATACCAACATGGTACTGACAAAAAAACAGACTTGTGGATCAGAGGAACACATTAGAAGATGCAGACACAACTATATCCACACTCACCCAAATTATCTTTTACAAAAGAGCCAATCACATGCAGTGGAAGAAAGCCTTTTTAATGAATGGTGCTGGAAGAACTGGCTTTTCTCATGGTGAAGATTAAAGCTAGATCCAGGTGCATCACCATGCACTAAGTCATAATGGATCAAAGATCGAAATATTAAAACACAAAAACTAAGTCTACTGGAAGAGAAAGTAGGTACAAAACATAAAGACAATGGTCTAGGTAGAAAGTTCATGAAGAAAATTCAAACTGCATGAAAAGTATTTTGAACCAACACCTGGGATCTCATCTTTTTGGAAAGTATTTTCACATTAAAAGAAACCAGTAACAAAAACCCATAGATAAGAAAAACTTCAGCCAACTGTTTTTCATACAAAATACTTGTATCTTTAAAGTACAAAGGACTGAAAAAAATCCAGTATCTCAATGAAAAAGACAATTCAGAAATGGACTTCAGAGATGAATACATACTTCTCAGATGAAAAAATACAAATGGCAAAATAAATCTTAAAATATTCAACATAATTGTTCATCAAGATATGCAAATTAAAACAACACTGATAAACAACACTCACCCCACAAAATATGGGTAACATCAAGAAATTAATACCAACTGCTGCTGGAGCTTCAGGGTTAAAAGGAACCATTGTCCATTGTTGGTGTGAACGGGCTTTGGTTCAATCACTGAGGCAATCAGTGTGGAGATTTCCCAAAACACTAGGACTGTGGGTCCTATTGAGCCTAATTATTCCCCTTCTGGGTATATTCCCAGAAGAATAAAAAGTATCATATCATAAAAGTTACATAACCCCACAGTTTAGAAGGACAATTTTTACTAGCTATATATTGGAAACAGTGTAAATGCCCTTCATCTGAAAAATTGATAAAAAGATGAGGTATTTATATAAAATAAAGTAAAAAATAAAATAAAAATAAAAATAAAATAAAATAAAGTAATACTCAGCTATACATAATTATAAATGAGAAATTCATGAGCATATGGATGCAACTTGAGACTATATTCAAAAGTAAAATAAATCAGATTGACAAATCTAAACATTATATTATCTCTCCACTATAAAAAACATGAAAGAATAAATGAGATGTAAAATGTACAATAGATGATATGAAATGGGAATAGGCTAATGAAAAGGAAAGAACTGGGTAAAAGGAGAAAAGAAGGAAAGGGACAACAACATGTGTATCCGCTGAATATATAGCAGGAAGCCATGCAAATAAGGCCTCCCTCTAGTGATGAAAACCAGCCCAGCTCTGACCCTGAAGCTCCGGATTAGAGCTCAGCCTTGGAGCTCAGCAGTCACCACGCGGTGAACAGACTGAACACAGACGACTCACCATGGAGCTTGTGCTGAGCTGGGTTTTCCTATTTGCCATTTTTAAAGGTAAATTATTCAGTACAAAAGATCCTGAACACATGAGTGGACATGAGTGGGATAAACAGTGGGCCTCTGTGACGATTTCCTGAGCAGGATGTGTCTGTCTTGCAGGTGTCCAGGCTGAGGTGCAGCTGGTGGAGTCTGGGGGAGGCTTGGTGCAGCCTGGGGGTTCCCTGAGACTCTCCTGCGTGGGCTCGGGATTCAACTTCGGGAATAGTGGCATGAACTGGATCCGCCAGGCTCCAGGGAAGGGGCTAGAGTGGATCGCAGTGATCTACTATGATAGTAGTAAAATGTACTACGCAGACTCAGTGAAAGGCCGATTCACCATCTCCAGAGACAACACCAAGAGCACACTGTATCTGCAAATGAGCAGCCTGAGACCCGAGGACACGGCCGTGTAGTACTGTGCAGCTTACACAGTGAGGGGACAGCAGTGTGAGCTCAGACAGAAACCTATGTGTTGGGGAGCATTTGACTGCCCAGCAGGGGTCGCTGTGGTCCAGGAAGAACCAGGCTGACCGCTGGGAGCAGGTGCAGAACAGGAAGCAGTGGAGTGACGGCTTCCTGTTGGCCTCTGGGGTTTCCCTTCTGTATCATCATCAAAGGACCTGCAATGCATGAGCTGTCATTAAAGTACCCAAATTTGAATGAACACCATCTGTTACATTTAATTTTATAGGAATTTCACTTAATGGGAAAACATGACTTGTACTCATCTCAAAATAACATAAATTTTGTGAAGTCAGGTTCCTTTTCATGCCTAATCATCAGAATTATCATCTAATGTTGAATATGCTCATTTAATCCAAAGATAAAAACTTCTCTCATGCATAAATCACTGCTTAAGATTACGAAATTAAGTCTTTTATATCCCTCTCCATTCTAGGACTATGCAGGTCTCTCTCTCCCAGAGTAACACAGGCAAGCTGTTAGAGCGCCTCAGCCGAGAAGCATGTGGAATAAAATTACATATTGTCAAGTTTTTAATAATGGGCATCCTGGGCTGGGGAGATAGCTTTAAGGTTTAAGCACCTGTTTTACAAGCACAAGAACCCGGATTTAATCTGGAACTGTAGGCCTTGCTAGCCCAGGAAACCTTGGCCTGACATATTCACCACCGAAGCCAGACATGTTAACCCATACCTGTAATTCCAGTGCTAAGGAGGCTGAGACAGGAGGATGACTATGAGTCTGAGCTGGTTCAAGAGACCCTGTACCTAATTAATTAATTAATTACTTTGAAATTGAAAATTGGTCTCTAGTCAACTCTTCCAGAAGGCAAATGAGTGAATGGTGTCACTCAGCATATGATGCAAAATAGCCATAATTTTAGGATCAAGAAAGGGCTGAAGGACACAAGCCTCGGACCGTGAATTTTGGGAAGTTAGCGGAGAAGGAAATCTGAACATGGACATCAAACCATGGAAGAGAACACTGGAAAGAGGGAAGAAGAAAAGAGGAAATGCTCCAGAGTTAGGCAGGCACTTCTGGATATCACCAAGCAAGTGGGCTTCAGGTTTGGGGATGCAAATCTTCACAAGGACAGATTTCTTCCACAGCAGATAGAAAAATTCAGAGATGGATATGTCGATATCTCCCTTCTGGTATCTTTTTTTTTTGTTTGTTTGTTTGTTTGTTTGTTTTTTGTTTTTAAAGCTTTTTTATTTAAAAACAAAACAGAACAAAACAAAAACGCCCAAATCAAAATATTTCCCATTGGAGGCAATTTTTTTGTCTTTTAAAAATTTTATTACACAAATATCTCCCATTTCCATGTTTCAGAGGAAAGATGTTCTTGTTCTTTCTAAAACCAATAGTGGAGAACTTTTAGAAAACAAAACAAAGTCCAACTAGCTTCCCTCCTTCCCCGGCCCAAAATAACCCTAATGTGTCAAGTGAGATAGTTAAGACTCACCCCATAATGCTTACATTTAATTTAAAATTTTTAGCACAACATTGGAGATTGACTCTAAATCAGCAACAAAAAAATATATATTTA